ATTTGAAATCTGAGACTTTGTTTCATATTAAAAGTACCAAAGCACAATGCTTATTGCGATATATTGGATGGGAAGTAGGCCTGTCGCAATAATCAATATATCGACTTATCGGGCAAAATATATGTACATGACCTCAATCATTTTTGGTGACGCAATATATCACCCATTATATTTACTTAAAAATTAATGTCACCATGTTTTGTACATTCCACTTGCGCCTGTGTCTTTTGCAGCTTCTCGTACATAACGTGTAGTCATGAGGTGCTAGTTCAAATTAAAAAAAAATGCTTCTACAAAAAATTTTGGTGACGCAATATATCGCCCATTATATTTACTTAAAAAATAATGTCACCATGTTTTGTACGTTCCACTTCCGCCTGTGTCTTTTGCAGCTTCTTGTACATAACGTGGGGTAGTCATGAGGTGCTAGGCCAAATTTAAAAAAATTCTTCTACAAACAAAGTTTCATCTGCAGATATGGCCTTGTTTAGGATCTGTGCCTTTGTGCATACAGACATCTGACTGCCGAGTAGTGATTGTGTTTTTCAGCAATAGGGTGCAACTTTAATTTACAGAGAAAAGAAGGTCTGGGAAAAATCTGTAGATGGAAAAATCTCCATACAAGTTCTTTGTGCATTTTTCTACTTGTTACTTTGCACTTTTAGTTAGAAAATGTTTATTTACTATTTATTCAAGTTTTTTAAGGTATCTAATATTTTGATACTTAATTGCCATGATCTAAATATTCTTAAAAATTAAAAGTTTGTTGTCATTTGGAAGTGTGTAGGCCTTCTTGCATTATTATGCTGTTACATTATGATTATATATTCAGTGGCATAAAATGGTCTTTAAAATGACAATATTATCGCTTAACGCAATTATTTCAAAGGCAATATATCGCACAACAAAAAGTTGTTATCGTGACAGGCCTAATGGGAAGTGCCCTTCAGTGTTCCGTCCATTAACTGAAAACAGGCTAGATTAATCGATTCTTGGGATTTAAGAACTGATATCGTTCCGAAAAAATGAGAATCAATTAATATCGAGATATCGATATTTTTTACCCAGCCCTAATTTAATACCAAAACATTATTTGGACGCAATGGGGGAAGTGTGGCTGTTCCTTCCTCAGAGATCATTTCACCTTCTATTACCGGAGGAACGTCAATCATTCCTCAAGCCGCAAAGCAACCTAGAATTCCAAGTGGCGTATCGGATTCCACTATCGTCCAGAAATGGGTCCTGGGTGTCCCAGATGCTAAAGCTAGACCGTAGAAACTGAATTTGTAAGGCAGTGCCTTGGAGTTAAAATGGTGTAACCAACGTCGTGAACTAACAAGGCTGATCAAAACAAACCAAACATGTCACATTCCTTTTAAAAAAAAAATTATGCATGAGGAATGAGCATAGAATAACATGCTAGGGGTCACGAATGTACAAGGGAACCTGTCGAGTGTTGTATGTGTCAGTAAGTGGAGACAAACTAACATGCCTTGGAGTCAGTCATGGGGACAACTCTACTGCCCCCTTTAGGACTGAATTTGAGCCCTCTATGTGCTCTCTCTGGAATGTCCCGCTGAGGTAAAAGTCAAAAACTCATGTGCTGACTCTCTGTTGACTATCTCCCACACAAAAGACAGAACATAGCGAACAAATATCCACTTAAATACAAACACAAGCCAATCTGCTCAATGACTGGCTGCTGCTGACCTCTGATCCAGTACATCCAGATTCTGTTACACAAACAGACTGGAGGAAAAATCTGCCGATTTACACAAATAGACAGATAAAAAAATATATATAATCCGTCCATATGGATTTATATAGTATCTATAATTAATGGCAGGGATTACATTTTATGATTTCATCTCCATTAAACAAATAAATGCAGGTCGCAGCTCCACTGTTGGCGATCCACTGCATAAAAATTACTTACCTTACTGGTCTTCCTGGATCTGGGTTTGCTGACACGGACAACTTTGGTAGGACTCTGGGGTTCTGAGGACAGAACAAAAACAAGAGAGTGATTATGCTTGATGTAGTTCATTAGAGAAAGAGAGAAAGAAAGAAAGAAAGTAAGAGAGAGAGAGAGAGTGCTTAAATGCTCAAAATAAAAAGCTTTAATTTTACTATATTTAATTCAGCTTTCAAGGGCACTTTGGTTGCTTTCATTGACTATAACTGACACTGAATGAACACTTCAGACATTCAGAAATACAGTTAGCCTAACTGTACTTGTGCATTTACACAATGACTTTATTGATCATTCATTCATACAACATACTGAAGCCAGTCACCATCACTGTACACACCTCCACAGAGGAAGAACTCTGGATTTTCAGTCGATATGGAGCTAGTTTTGTCTTTTCTAGTGGACACGTGCAGTATGACCTGAACTTTCTAAGTTTAAAGGGGTCCTATTATGCTCTTTTACAAAGTCTTGATTTTGTTTTAACTAAAGTGATAATGACTCTTTGAGGGCATTTACACATTAAACCAACTCCTACATATTACACACGCATCCGTACAGTAACCACCTGTTAAAACTATTTCAAACAGGAAAGACTTGTGAAATGTCATAGCAATGCTTTATAACACTTGGTAAAACACCTTTCCAGGCTTTTCGCAGGGCACACTACACATTATTTCAAAATAGCTGTTAAATACATAAGCACAGTGTCTGGATTATCTATAAAACAACTCCAGGCTACAAAGTTTAGTTAATTAATAGCTCAAACTATGACCATAAATATTGCATTTCTTTATTCACATATGAACACTCATGTATGAACACTGGATTTTCATCCTCCGGGTATCACAGATCTGCACTTAAAATCTACAAACGTCTCTCTTTCTCTCTGTGTGTCCAGTGTGGCAGGTCAATACGGACTAAGTGCTGTGGTCAATTCTCTGGGAACAGCTTCACTTAGATTGTAAAGCCACATGCCAGCACCTGCACAGCAAGGTCATGCATCCACACGCGTAAAACATTAACTTCCTCTGCAAGATGTAGCAGCATACAACATTTCTATGAGGGCCAGTGAAAGTGGTATTGACTTACTAAATATTATGATATCTAATCGATTACATTCACTGAAATAAATAAATAAATAAATTATACTCACCATTAATAAAACACCTGATGATGTCGGGAGCTGACCAATTTTGTGAAATTCGGCTCGAAAGGAGTAACAGCACAATGAAGTTGCGATTGTAAGTTGCAGTCTGTAAGACGCGCACGGAAGCGTGACTTGACGCGCGACATTGCAGAAAATGTGCGTTCACAAATGTAGCCTATGTTGATCCAAATATGGAAAGCACTTTCGAATTTAATAATCTGAGGTTCTCTCCAGAGATGTTTTGCCACATTTCTGCAATTAAGGATGATTGCTGCATAGTATGGGTGTTTCCTTTTGCCTGAACTAGAGCCCTGTATTTCAGCCCGGGCCCGATGGGCCCCGACTTTTTTTACGCCCCTCGGGCCGGGCTTCGGGACAATTTTCACATCATAGTTCAGACGCGGGCCGGGCATCAGGCTTGTTTTAAGCTTCTCCTATTTTTATATTTTAGACATCCATCAATTAACGGTGTTTAGTGTCCAGCAGCAGCGAGCATGCCGTCAGCGCAGCTGAACAGTTCTGCGTTCAAATCATAGACTGTATAAAACAGGTTCAAATGCACGCAATAGTCTAAAGCTTGCCGCAAAGCACCGGCAAAAGTAATTACCATGAATGTGTCGGGGATGTAAGTGATCGCGCTGGCGCCTCCATGTCCTACAAAGCGCGCTTTAGTTGCACTCCGCACAAACTATTGGATATAGCGCACATTTATCTAGGTTTAACGGTTAAACATTGTTATATGCTTGAACTGTTTTATGCCGCTTGGTCATTACTTTAAAAAAACAAAAACTTATATTTAACGACCAAAAAATGCGCCAAGCGTTTTTCTAAATTAACTTAATAAAAAAACGAAACGAAATATAATAACTTTGCCATTACATACAAAACTGAACTATTTTAATATAGCTGAAACAGTAGTATAAGCTGTTTTGGGAGAAGGGGGAAAAAAGACGGGCTCGGGACGGTAATTCTGACAAGCTGTTGGACAAGGGCCGGGCTAGGGCCTGAACGTCATATATTTGAGGCCCGTGCAGGGCTCTAGCCTGAACATCTTCAAGTGAGTGGCGGGGCAAACCGAAAGTTGATGCTGAAAGTCCAGCGCTCTCCTACCTTCACTGCTGTGACTACTCTTGTATGCGTTCCTTCGCTGGCATTTTCCACATTTCATTTTTTCTCCCTTAATAACAAATGTGTCCATTCTGATGCTCAATTTTACCGAACTAATGGCTGCTGATGACTATTTGAATTGAATTCTGTCAAAGTGCGCACTTGTAAGTGTTCGTTAAATGCGTAACGTTAATTAGGCTACGTGAGTACAGGTCTGCTCATGTCTGAAAATAATATACGAAAAACAAAATTATTTTACATAAAAACATTTTAGCTTATATTTGTTTAGTACATTTTTTAATTAATGTAAAAACTAAAATGAATTGTAAAACTGAAAGTTATTTTTTAAATTGTGTTCAGCACAGACATCCCGTGGGCCGCATTTGAATTCGTGATGGGCTGTGGGTTGAGAACCACTGGTCTAGCCTAAAGACAAGAACGTTTAGGAGGTTAGCACAATGTATGTGACACAACCATATGTCTGACTTTTGATGAACGTCTATCTGTTCATTGCAACATCGAGGGCTTCACAATTGCACAGGAGGAGTTTAAATTCTTTGTGGTTCTTGAGAAACAATCATGAACAGTCTAAAATTAACATTCTTTCTGGCCTTAAATGATCACATCAGATCAGCTTTATTCTTCAGAAATACAGCAACATTCAAAGCTTGTTCCCTGTGGGAGAATCAAACACTACTTTGTCGTACAGCCAACAAAACCGGTTTAAATTTCTTTACTTAAAAAAAACAAAAACACAGAGAGCTGTCGGGATTAAACAGGCAACAGAGAGGGACGCCTATTCCTGGGAGTGTCCGGGGTCTTTTATCATTACTGAAAGGATGGCCTGTATGATAAGGCACTGGGCGCTTGCTGACAGTGTGGGGTGTGACCATACATTCAAACTTACTGATACTGTCCCGCCGACACCTTTCTGTCAGTAAATACCGCCTGAGGCTTAATAACTTAATCTGATGCAAACGCTCGTTTAAATCACTAAAATGTCAAGCCAGAAACATTATGTAAAGCCAGTTGGGCCGCTTTTACTATACCAATGAATAAAAGCTTAGCAAAAGTTTGTCAAGAAAATAGGGTCAATGACATGCTAAAGAAAAAGAAAAAGATATATTTTTTAATTCTAAAACATCTAGTTTTAAATGCATTCAAGATGTTCTTTGTATTCATGTTGGTTTCATATAGTTTTAAAAAGCATTTTCAAGAAAAGTTTAAACTTAATTTTAGTGCTGGGCGGTATACCGGTTCATACCGAATACCGGTGTTTATTTTTGTTATGATATGATTTTTTAAAATACCGCAATACATTATGTCGCTTAAACAACTTTCGGAACGCGACACTGTTTGAAAGGGGTTTCTTTTTTGAAAGGCTTTTCACTGTTGCACTGTGGTGAGGGAACTAAGCGTATGCTGTATGTGTTACTATCTCGTCAACAAATGAGTACAAAACAGCGTTTTCTAGCACCTGACGCTTACTGACTGTTTGGAATTATAAATATGAGCGTAGTTCGTCTGTTAATATCACATGCACTTTTTTGTTTGTTGTTTTTTTTAGTCACTCAGATGCAGGCAGTGCGCTGCATGAGACAGAAAACTAATATAGCCAAAACAACCGCATAGCCGCTCTTTAGTGTAGATGCATGTTGATTTTATCAGACGATGCCGCGATTATAAATGAGAGTGACTCCTGGTTAACATGTATTAAAAGGGGTCGTGTTTAGTCACTATATAGTGTGGTATTTTTTGACAATATTCACTCATCATGACAGTAAAATAGGGCATTCTAAGTTAATATACTGCAGTATTTCCTCTCTCAATCAGTAGAAAATATGGTTAACACCCGGTCATGCATGGAAAAAAAAAATCCTGTCATAATTTTGAAAAATACCGTGATATACATTTTTGGTCATACCGCCCAGCACTACTTAATTTGTTTAAAAATATCAAGTGGTGTAACTATCAAATAAAACATACTATTCATCACAGTTTTCAACATTGATAATTATAAAAAAAAAAAAGTGAGCACCATATTAGAATATCAGCATATTAGAATGATTTCTATCCAAGATGATAGAATGATTTAGGTTCTGGTCTAGGTTATGATCTAGATTCTTCTTAGGATCATGTGACACTAAAGACTGGAGTAATGGCTACTAAACAAAAAAATCAAGTTTGCCATCACGGGAATAAATTATTTAATCAAATAAAAATACATTAAAATAGAAAACTGTTATTTTAAATTGTAATAAAAATTCACAATATGACTGCTTTTACTGTATTTTTAACAAATAAAAGCAGCCTTAATAACCATAAGAGGCTTTGCTCAAAAACATCTTACCGTCCATAAACATTGCACCGGTAAAACTAGAAAGAGTTTGAAAATGTGACATTCACATTAACCCAAAAAGTTTATAACCTAAAAAATGACCACATACAGGTATCAATGCAGTCAAAACAGACAAAGCTGCTTACAACAAACCCCATGGTTGTTTGACAGGGGAGCAGTCTATTCTCAAATGTCAGCTAATAAGTCATGTGTACAGAGTCTAAGACCAGAGTAATGGTACTTAAAACACTGCTATCAGTCCATATATCATAGGACAGCATTCTGATCATTCAAAGCAAAGCACACATTTCTTATTTCAACACGGATCCCTGAGGATCAACCTAAGAGCATCTTTCATATTACTGTCCCATTTGCAAATACTTGGAATCATGACATGAATCCCACATTACAGACAGCACAAAGAGCTTTGGCTTTACAAGGTCAGTAAAATCTACAGCTCTGTTTATTCATCAGAACAATGACACGTGCAATGCATATGGATTGACATACAAGTCAGTCACACAACAATAGACTGTACTGGTTTGGTCAAACCACAAAGGAGAAACGCTCATTTATGACATCTCCATTCAAACTGAACGCAACTGCACTGTAAAACCTGGTAAGTTAAGAATACTCAAAACATTTGAGGAAACTTATTGCTTCAAAATATTTGAGTAAACGAACTCAATTTTTTTAAAGTTAGTAGAGCTTAAAATTTTTATGACAAGTGGGGCGGGGCTGAGAGCCATGGGAGCCAAGCCAAGCATCGCTTTCATGATCCCACCCCACTCATCACAATGATAATTATATACAACTTGTTTCCATTAACAGCACATTCATTCAGATCTTTATATTTAAGTGCTAGTTAGCAACAGCACACTAGCATGTACAAATGTAGTTATCAAAAACACTCACAATACTTGCATATAAATAGTGAAACAACATGCAGTATAAATAGTCTTTAAGTTTTGCTGTCCATCCTCAACCTAACCACAGGCTCTACTCTTCACCACAACGGTAACACTACAAACCCAACATAACAGAAACTAGGGCTGCACGATTAATCGCGTGCGATATTTAATGCGCATCTTATCAGTAAAGCCGGTTCTGTAATCAGC